AAGGGGAATCTTCACTGTCAGCTTGACTGGATTTGTAATTACCAAGGAGACACACCTCTGGGCTTGTCTTAGAGGGCATTCATTCACCACGCAGTGAAGACCCATCTGGAACCCACCTGGAATGTGGGCGGCACCGTTCCATAGGCTGAGGTCCTGGACTGAATGAAAACAGGAGAAAGCAAGTGGGGCACCCGTTCTCATCTCTCTCTGCTTCCTGACTGTAGACGCAATGTGACCAGCTGCCTCACGCTCCTGCCACCACACCTTCTCACCTCAGTCGGTGAGCCTTCATAAACCCTTCCTCCCTTAGGTTGCTTCTGTAGGTGTTTTGTCAGAGCAATGAGAAAAGTAACCAATACAATCACAGAGAGTACTTACTAAACCAAGAAGACTAAGGTACACCCGTGGGTAACATAACCTTACGTCATATACATGGTCTACTGGTGATCGAAGCTTTGCTCTGCGATGTATGGCTATGACATGAAGCAATGGAAGCAAGAAGGCAGGCAGGACACGACTCTGGAGCAGTGGCTGAGAGCTGACATCTGATACTCTGGCAGAAGAGAAAGAAAAGGAGAAGAGAGAGAGAGAGAGAGAGAGAGAGAGAGAGAGAGAGAGAGAGAGAGAGAACAAACAAAGGGCCCATCATCAAATCAAAGGTTCGCACCTGACAGGAATTGGCTACTGAGGTAGATGGAAGAATTCTGAAAGGAGCAGGCGTTCCTTCTGGGGAGACTTCTAAGGAAAAGAGTACAAGTAGGGAGCAGCAGACTGAGAACATCAAACTCAAAACAAACAAACAAGAATAACAAAAGCAGGGTGCACACTGAATGAAGCATGGTGAGCAGAGAAGAGGACTGGCCAGATTCCACGGGGTCTCATAAATTCTCACTCTGTCTAGGCATGGCTAGTGGTGAAAGACCCCCGCCCTTAGCTTTCTCTTTTAAGTTTCCCCGCGTGCAGCTGGCGGAGCGTGCAGCTGGCGGAGCGCGTGGGGAATACATCCTCCCCTGCACCCCCCGACCCTTGATCCCCACAGCTGCCGGCACTTCCCCGCCGCCGCGCAAGGCCGGCCCCGGCCCCCACCGGATCGCTCCGTCCCAAGGTCAGCCATCTGGACCGGCAAAAGATAAAGGCCATTTCGCCGGACTATTACGGTGCCTTTTTCCCCTATAAAAGGACTCCCCTTCCGGGGCTCAGGGCTTAGCCTAACAAAAAGCTAAGTCCCCGGGTGCCCGGCGCCATCAATAAACCCTCTTGCTCTTGCATCCAGAGTTCGTGGTTTCGCTGATTCCTGGGTGCGGGTCTTCTTCTACGAAAGTACCTCTTCTGAGGTCTTTCAGTGGAACCACACCATGAGTTTTGTGATCCAGGAGAGGGTCCCTCTGTTCCTCTCCAGTCCATGGATGTTCAGTCCTGAAGAAGGTCTTCACTGTTCCTCTTACACTCATCCATTTCACATGAGACTTTTAAGGGCGGGATAGACGGCTCAGCTGTTAAGAGCACTACATGCTCTTCCAGAGCACCTGGGTCCAATTCCCAGCACTCACATGGTGGCTCACAACTGTCTGTTACTCCTGATCCAGAGCATCAGGTTTCCTCTCACAGACATACATGAAGAAAAAAAAAATAAGACTCTCATGTAATGAGGCAGTTACAGGAACTGGCTGGATGGTGATGGTAGGGCAGCATGGGGGCTTGCCCAGATAAGGATGGCCTTGCTGCCCTGGGGAAGGCTAATTTCAGGTTACAGCAGCATAGGGGAGACAGATGCCCTCTGAGAGCATCCAGCCAATATCTCTTCCAAGGTTGACATTCAGTGTTTTGATTTGAGTAGTCAGGTGAATGTTGGCTACATGAGACCCTGTCTTACACAGACAGACTAGAATGCCCAAGGCCACATGGATGATATATAACAGAGCAATAATTTGCCTCCTGGCAGTTTGACAGCTAGGTTCACACTCTCAGCCGCTTGGCAGCACGGCTCTGGATATTCAAGAGCAGTGAGTGGGGCAGGGCGTGTGCCTACAGGTGAGTAGGAGGTGGCTCATCCTGCTGTATGATTTACTCTGTGCTCAGTGGCCATCTCGTAATCCCTGTGTCCTTAGGGTATGTGCCTTTGATGAAGACGAACAGCTGTGTGAACTTGGACACCCAGAAGCAGTCCTGATTCCCAGCAGTGATCTGATTGACTTGTGTTTTCTCCTGTCCTCCGGAGATAGCAGTTAAGCTTAAAAACAAACAAAAAACAAAACAAAAACAAAACAAAACAAAACTCTTTCAGTTAGTTCTAGGACATGCTTCTAAATGTCACGTAGCCCAAGGCTAGCCTCAAAGGTGCTGTATAGCTGAGGATGGCTTTGAACTCCTCATCCTCCTGCCAACACTTCTCACGAGCTGCACATCTCATCACACTGGTCTAGCCTAGGGCATCCTCACGAGCCTCTAAGTTCATCTGTAATAGAATAGAGAAAGCAGTGCCAATGACCTCCTTACAGAATTAAATCAGGTCATTCACACAAACGAGCTAGTACCTGGGACACAGAGAATGCGTCTGAAGTTATAGCTACCAACAGCTCATTTTTGTTCTGCTTTAGAGGGAAAACAGTTGTTTTGCCCGCATGTATATATTTGTACCATTCATGTGTCTCGTGCCCTCAAAGGTCAGAAGAGGGCACCAGGTCCTCTAGAGCTGGAGCTGCAGACAGCTGTGGAACACCTTGTAGGTCCTGGAAACCAAACCCAGGTCCTTTGCAAGAGCCACAAATGCTCTTAACTATTGAGCTGCCTCTCCAGACCCTTGCTTTGTTTTTGAAACAGGGTCATGATGTGTAGCCCAGGCTGGCCTGGTAGCCTCCTGAGTGCTGGGATTACCTGGCAGTAGTTCTTTGAAAAGGTCCAATTAATCTATATTAATAAAGTTATGTACATTATGGGGAGGAAGGGAGGTAGAAGGGAATTCTATGTAATTCAATCTTGTTTGTAACTCAAATAAAAAAAGTCAAAAAAAGTTATGTACATTATGTACTGTGCATGTGGTGTGTGTGTGTGTGTGTGTGTGTGTGTGTGTGTGTGTGAGAGAGAGAGAGAGAGAGAGAGAGAGAGAGAGAGAGAGAGTCTTACGTATCCCATCCTCAAACTTGCTATGAAGCTAAGGATGACCTTGGATTTCTGATCTCCCTCCCTCTACCACCTCAGTGCTAGGATTACGGGTGTGTACCATCACGCCCAGTTTATGTGATGATGGGGATGAGACCCAGGGCTTCATGAATGCTAGGCAGCTACTCTTTCAATAAAGCTACACCCCAAACTCTATTGAGAGCAAACATATCTTTATGAAGCAGATGTGAGGTGGGGATCAGAAATCACAGAGAAAGCGGTTGTTACGGAGGAATCAGAGAAGACTTTGAAGTTGCTGAAGCTGGACCTTGGGCAGGACAGAGAGGGATGGGGATTCTAGCAGAGAGAGCACAGTGAAGCTGGGCAGGAGGCCCTGGGGGAGCACCTGGTCACCTGGTGCTTTTGGAGAGTGGGTGGCCCAGGAGGGAGGAAGAGAACCGGGTTAGAGGAGGCTGGGCCTGAGCCAACTTACTGATTTCTTAAAGATCATTTTTAAAGATCGTGTGTGTGTGTGTGTGTGTGTGTGTGTGTGTGTGTGTGTGTGTGTGTGTGTGCGTTTGTGCGTGTGTGTGTGCGTGCACGCACGCGAGTTTTTCTCCCTGCTACTTAAGTTTCATACATCTAGAACGTATTGTGTAGGCTGTCAGGGGGGGTGGGAGGGGAGGGGGGTGAGAGTGGTGGGTCCCAGCCATCTGTCTGTGTGCTTTTGTATTTTTTTTTGAGTGCGTGTGTGTGTGTGTGTGTGTGTGTGTGTGTGTTTGCCCGTATATGTGTATGTGTATTCCCACAGAGGCCCGAAGAGGAAGTTGGATCCCATGCTGGAGGAGTTACAGACGGTTGTGAGCTGCCCAGTGTGGATGCTGGGATCTGAATCCCCGTCCTCTGCAAGAGCAGCAAATGCTTTTAAGAAAACGCTGAGCTTTTTCTCCAGCTCCAGGATGTGTTTTGTTTGTTTGTTTTTGGTGAAGGTGTAGCTTATTCACTGTAGAGACAAAACAGTCTAACAGTTGGATTATGTGATGTCTCTTCACAGACAACACCAATTCTTGCCCCACTCACAGGCCACTGTGTCATTTCTACCTTAGGAGCTTAGTTCCCGATCCTGCATTTGTGGCTATTATTTAGGTCTCTCTCCAGATTCTTATAGAGTGATGTCGCAATAGAAACAAAAATTGGGGAAAGGCTAGTTCAGGGTATAAATTCAAAGGCCAAGTCTACAGCATTCACTGACACAAACCTATGGATGTGGCATTCCCCAATACAAACCCATCGATGTGGCATGCTGTGAAACTTTAATTATTGTGCTTAAGATCAAAGAACATTACTCAGGAGTGGAGAAGCCAAGTGTAAACTAAGGAGATCTTCCCCGAATGACTAACTCTCTGGGCTCACCTAGGGCTTCCCTGTGTTTGTGCATAGAATCACCCCATGACCCCAGGACATTCTTATGTAAGCTTAAGAGTGTGGCATTGTGCCACAGTACACACAGAACAAATTTTATTGGACAGAGCTTGCACAAAAATGCAAGGAATATTAAGGCCACAGGAAGGTGGTGGCTTCTGGGAGAAGGCAGAGCCTGTCTGTGCACGCAGTTCAGGAGAGCTGTAGCCCTGAGCTGTGACTCTGAGCATTGAGCCTAGAGAGGAGTTAGTCATTGACACCTACCTTCTTCCGGTCACTGTTTCCAGGGTAGGCCTCACTCATTTAAAATGTTAGCCACGTGCTCTACTCCAGCACTCCAGGGAGAGAAGTGAGAAGAGACCAAAAGTTTTTAAAGTCAGCTTCTGTTTTGGCAATGATACTGATGAGAGTAGGCAGGGGCAGGACTGTTTAG